AAAGACATTCAGATGGAAAACAGCATTCAAAATAAAGAACAAATACGCAAGAGCAACCTGCAGCCCAAAATGGAAAAATATAAGAGAAAGCAGAAAATGGATGAACAAAAATGATATACAGTAGAGCGTCGTTTATCCGAATCAATTGGGGACTGGGGTTGTTCGGATAACTTATTTTTCGGATAACCGATTACATACGAAAAAATATATTAACCTATCCCGTGTTGAAATTTTTCTCTGTTGCGTGTCGCTTCGTGTTGAATTTTCGTCGATGTTAAGTCTACAGTCTGTTTCAAAATTATAAACACACCCAACATTTTTCAACAACAACAACATTAACTATAGTAATGTATTTATTATAAAATTATAATAAGGAACCTCCATTGTATTGGGTTGTTTTCTATGAGAAGTTGACCGTAACCAACAGAACTTTTTGTTCAACTTCTTCCTGGTTTGGTGAGCTTTATTGTTGGCAATGTTTCTAATTTTATCCAATTGCTGGTATAATCTGCTTGCATCACACTGTTTTGAAAATCGTATATGGGCCAGATACACTTGCATTTCTTTGTCTGCTATTGCTTTTCGTTTGCTTCTTATTAATTTAGCCAGCAGTTTTCGTTCGGTTTGAGGTAATATGGTTCACACTTCCTTTGGGAAGGAATCATACTTGAGTGCTATACACTTCGGAATAAGGTGTGTTTTCCGGCACTTTAGTAAAAACCATAACTGTGCTTTTAGTCTTAACCATCTAATTCTCGTGTTCAATAGAGAAAAGAAGTGTTTTCTATTATTATCCATGATATAGTATACAATGCCACTTCACGCCAACGAAGTTATTATATGCTTATAACACTTATGTGTTGTGGCGTTACAGGAGTGGAGTCTTGGAGAATGAACTTGTCCAACTTTAGAAAATAGCACATTTCCCAATACCCTATTTAGGTCCCATTTCTTTAAAAATTGCGCATATGTTTAGAACTAACGGTTTTGTTCTACCAATAATACCACCGCCAAGTCTATGAAGACTACTATGTAATGATAGGGACGGATATCAGTGGAATGATAAATCAGGAATCTACCAAGTCCTGCTAAAACATGCATTGACAGGTGAAGAAACCAGTTATGTGGGGGCCACAACTAGAAGGTTATGTTCATGTATTCTTGAACATCAAGATGATATCAAAAACAGCAGGCCAGTTACAGAGTTAGCAAAGAAAGTGCTTGACCACAATTACCAGCTGCTCTGGTACAAAACAAAATTACTGAAAGGCTGCAACGAACATAAAGAGTTATTTATTTGGGAGAGTCTCTATATTTCAGCCACTGAACCGTGCAACTCCCCAACTCTCAAAATACCAGAACTTTGGGTAACAGCCTTTAAACAACTAAATCCACGATGTTGAAGTCTTTGCTACTTGGATGTCTTTTTGACATATCTTATACTTTATGCATGTTCTGGGCTCTTTTACGGCCTTATTCTTCCTAAAACATGCTTAAGTAAAACTGTTTTCGTTCCACGCACTATGATGCATAAAACGATTTTTAAATAACATTCGAAAAAGAAAAATCAGTTAATTTGACAGAAATATTGTTTGAAAATTTCGAATGTCCAAAATTTGTGAAACCGTCAGATAAGTATTCGAAAATCTTAAGCTGTTGTATTTGATAGATTGCCTGAAGACAGTAGTTATATACTACTGAAAGTGCTAGCGGATGAGTTCATTTTCTGAAGTTGGATGAATTCATTCTCCAAGACGCCACTCCTGTAACGCCACAACACGTAAGTGTTATAAGCATATAATAACTTCGTTGGCGTGATGTGGCATTGTATACTATATCATGGATAATAATAGAAAACACTTCTTTTCTCTATTGAATACAAGAATTAGATGGTTAAGACTAAAAGCACAGTTATGGTTTTTACTAAAGTGCCGGAAAACACACCTTATTCCGAAGTGTATAGCGCTCAAGTATGATTCCTTCCCAAAGGAAGTGCGAACCATATTACCTCAAACCGAATGAAAACTGCTGGCTAAATTAATAAGAAGCAAACGAAAAGCAATAGCAGACAAAGTATTTATTATATTAGTATGTTGTTTACAACATCAATTTAAACATTTTCTGAAAGTTTTAGAGCAATCTGACAATTACAGGAAAAAATGATCACAGATTTTCAATTTTTGAGTGTTTCAAAAGTATAAACACAGGTGCATAAAACTAGTGTAATAATTTTTTTTTAATTATTGGTTTAATTGAGTGATACTTCCCTCTGGTGACAACTATTATTAAAAGCATGGTGCCAATTTTAAATGGTTTTTGTGGTTTAAACCAATGCCTCATGGAAAAACACTAACAGAGTTGGAAATATGTGAAATTTACCAACAAAAAGGACCAGGACAATCTCTAAGATAAACTTTGGCAGCTATAAATTGATCCATATGGGCTGTGAGAAATGTGTTAACTTAGGGTGAATATTATGGCAGAAATAAGCGATGTGAAAGGCCTAAACTCCTTACCCCTAGAAACAAAAGAAAAGTTTTTCAGCTACTTACGATCAACAAGTTGTCTGTCATAGAAGCAGCATCAACATTGCTAATTGCAGTTTAACCAGCAACTATAAGGAGATGTATGCATAATCATAAAAATGCCAAATTTACAAGAATGGCTGCCAAACCAAAATTAACACAATTGCACAAAACAGCTAGATTAAAGTGGGCCAAAGACAAGATGACATGGAAAGGGGTGTGAAAATAGTCTTTTCAGATGAAAAAAAAATGGAATTTGGATGGATCTGACAGTTATAGTCACTACTGACACGATTTGAAGAAGAATGAAGAAGTCAGATTGCACAGACAGCAAGGTGGAGGATCTGTGATGGGGAGGTAAAACTGATATTGTATTTATAGAAGGTAGATTGAATTCAGAAAAGTATCAAGAACTGTTGTATCAAAATTTAATAACTTTTGTATCACTTATTGAGGGATAAAACTGGCAATTCCAACAGGATAATGCTGCCATTCATACATCAAAGTAAACTAAAAATTGGTTTACTGAAAAAAAAATTAATGTAATTGATTGGCCATCACGGAGCCCTGATATGAACCTGATAGAGAATGTTTGGGGCATTACGAGTCGTCTTGTTTATGACCAAAACAGACAATACAACACTGTAAATGAACTGAAATTAGCTATCATGGATTGTTGGGAAAATATTAAACAAGAACAACTTCAAAAACTAGTAAAATGTATGCCTGATAGAGTATTTGAACTAATTAAATCAAATGGTGGACTACAAAATATTGAAACATCACAAATCGGTTTTTTTGTGTACATGTGTTTATACTTTTGAAACAATCAAAAATTGAAAATCTGTGATAATTTTTCTTGTAATTGTCAGATTGCTNGGCCACATGTTGCACAACCGGTGAAAACGTACTTGGAAACGCTTAAATGGGAAGTCCTACCCCACCCGCCATATTCACCAGACATCGCCCCTTCCGATTATCATTTGTTCCGATCAATGGCACATGGCCTGGCTGAGCAGCACTTTCGTTCTTATGAAGATGCCAAAAAATGGGTTGATTCTTGGATAGCCTCAAAAGATGTGTTGTTTTTCCGACGTGGAATTCAAATGCTGCCAGAATGATGGGAGAAAGTAGTGGCTAGTGATGGACAATACTTTCAGTGACGGGTTTATTATGACTTTTTTTAAATAAAGTGTTAATTTTCACAAAAAAACAGCGAGAACTTATTCAAAGTCCTTATAGTTTGATTTTCATCTCAAGATCAATAGTCTTCCTTCAATTCTTGATGTTTCCTCCAGGTGAAGTCATGCTATTCCTTTTCACTGACATCTTGTACTATGGGGTGCACAATATAGTACAAATTTATAAATAAAATATGCAGTCTTGGAGATTTCAGATGCTGTGTAGTGAATACTGACTGACTGTGGCAATGAGACTCAGAAAGGGATTCCCCACTCTGGAGAGCTGGTTGTAAGTCCGAGTGGTCTGTAAACGGATAGTGAGGATTGCCTGTTTCTAAAATTGGCTTATTTTCAGGCTAGAAATATTATGGTAATAATTAATAACTAGTATTAATTTAATTCTAACCCAAAAATAATTGATTTTTAAGCAAAGGTAATTTAATTTATAATTTTCTGATATTATGATTGATATTTTGTATGGTGACAGAAATGTTTGGACCAGTTCATCATGAAATATTTTTGGTATATTTGCTAATTTTCATGGATTTTAATTAATAAATAGTTTGTGTAAGACACAATTTTTATAATAAGAATTTACACACAAATTGTTTTTTCATTTAATCGATTTTATTGCAATAACAAAAAAATGCAAAACTAATAAAAGAAATTAATGTTTTTATTGGATTAAATGTTTTCAGGCTGCCTCTGATTCCATCATCATGCCAAAAGCATTAAAATTAACAAATTTGAATAAGAACATCAGTAAATTTACATTGAACGTTTGAATAAATTTGGATGTGTAAACAATTTTAAAAACATAAACAGAAACTTCTGTTTGTTTTTTTTAAAATTGTTTTTAATTTGCCAATTTTTATGTTTTCAGGTCAGGTGAGAAAATCATGAAAAACATCTAATCCAATAAAAAGTGACTCCTTTAATCAGTTTAGCATTTGTGACTTTGTATTTCCTTGGAGTTGTTACACTCTGAAATTAGTTTTATTACAATTATAATAAATTAATCTATTGATTTTATTGACATTAAATTTATTTTTGTTAGATGCTAAGCTTCTTGGTATATGAAATCTTAAATATATTTACTTAATTCATAATAGTCATGTTTATGATTATTGTACAAGTGTTCACCAGTCAGGACAACGAGCAACGGGAACAAAAGGAAAAAAGGGACATCCTCCTGGTGGTGCTCAGTTTGTTGGTTTTGAGTTATATAAAAGGTTAAAGGACTTCTTGAAGAATTATTTACTCAATTTACTAAAGGTATGAGTACTTACAGTATTTTTTTATTTCAATAAAATAACCGTAAGGCAGGGGTGGGCAACCCATGACCCTCAGGCTGCATGCAGCCCACATTGCATAAAATATGAATAACTATATCAATTTCCAGCTTAAGGAAGTATGCAGCAAAAATTCAAATGTTATTTTCTACAATTTATGTATGTGAATTGTTTTTCCCTCAATGAATTTAGTAAACGTTAAAACAAATAGGCTAACAGACTCGCATCGAAAGTAATTTAAAACTAGTGGTGACTAATATTTGACCAAATATTTCCAATATATTTTGTTTACATCAGTTCCAGAACTAAATTAAGTACAGTAGAGCGTCGATTTTCCGAATCAGTTGGGGACTGGGGTTGTTCGTATAACTGATATTTCAGATAACCGATTTATGTACGAAAAAATAGTTTAATGTATCCAATGTTGAAATTTTTCTCCGTTGCGTGTCGCTTCGCGTTGAATTTTCGTCGATGTTAAGCCTAACGAAGACTATTGTATCGTAAAAAATTATTTTTTTATTTTGTACAAACAAAATAAATATATTGAAAAATATAAAAACAATAAAAAATTATACTTCATATGTTAATTTATTAGTATCAAAAACGTAAAATATTTGAGTGGCCCAAGACATAG